CCCCCCCCCCCCCCCCTCCCCCCCACCCCACCCTAACCCACGAAAGCATTGGTCCGCGCAACCATCTACGGAAGCTTACTGCCCCAGCCCAACCCCCCACCCCACCCTGAATGCAAGAGAACGCATCAACTGTCCACGCGTGCGATTGTTCACATTGCCCCCTAGTTCGGGAATAGAAGTTTCTGAATACGACGAAAATAGTTTCTGAATACGACAAAAATAGTTTCTGAATACGACGAAAATAGTTTCTGAATACGACGAAAATAGTTTCTGAATACGACGAAATAGTTTCTGAATACGACGAAAAGAGTTTCTGAATACGACGAAATAGTTTCTGAATACAAGAGTTTCTGAATACAACGAAATAGTTTCCGAATACAACGAAATAGTTTCTGAAGACTAGTTTCTGAATACAGTGCAGTTTCTGAATCCGACTTTGTTCCTATAGTAAATGGAAAGCTTCAACAAAGCTCCCCCCGCCTGAGGGCGGAAGGGAGCTTCCTTGAAGCGCTCGGACTGATTTGGTTCCTAGCCTCTGAGGGAAACTTCAATTCGCAACAAGTCTACTGTTTTGATCCATTTTTGGACAACAAACAGCATTAAGTGCACGGAACAGCTCTGAATCACTCCAACAAACCAGTTCTTGAACGAGGGACGCCGAAGAGAGCGTTGAACTCCGCGCTGGTATACATCAAGGGTTGCCAGGCGACATAGAAGGAAAACATGTCGCATCCACAACATCCTCACTGTCGAACAAGGCAACAACTTTGAACAAGCAAGCTTTCAAATTAAAGCCAGTGAAGTACTGAAATAAGGGTCATCATATCAAGCCAAAATAACACGTCCTCGTGTAAACACTGCAAAACACACGCATCGTGCTTGTCCAAGACTCTCCCTAGCATGCTTTTGGGCATATTTTGGCCACATGACGTTCATCTTTAAAGCTGCAAATGCCACACGATCAAGTATCCATTCTCCTCAGCGGAATGTCCAATCTCCCAAACGCATTGTGGGTGCGTCATTGGCAAAATCTCATGCAACTCGTGATTGTCAAGGTCTAAAAAGAAAACATTGCACTTCGTTGGGACACATCGCTATTAGGTGAAGGGCCAATTAGGTTGGACACCTGTTACTCCTGTCGCTCCCAGATTCCTCCAGCACAGTCCGGAGACAAAGCTACACTTGAGTCCGGTCATGACATGGGAAACAATTTGAGGCCCCGTCACACCTCTCCTATCCAGGGCCTTGTGTCTGGGTGCAAAAGAGCGTTCACTTGTTGGGCAACGAGAGCACAAAAGAACGATAAAAGAACGGTCAAAAAGCATCTCTAAAAGGTCAGGAGGAAGAAACACAAAACAATTTTTCTACAAGATTGCGTTTGAAAGGTTGAAGCTTGTACTTTAGTCCACCAAGCTTCTATGAGCACTTGGACAGATCGTCTTCAATTTTGCACAAAGTGAGACAAACCATTCTAAAGGTTGAAAGACAACACTTTTCTTGAAACAAATAATAACACGAACGAAGTGTCAATAAGTGTCGATAAGTTATAACTTTGTTCTTCATGATAACGACTTATTGACACAGAATGGTCCGACTTATGGTCTGAAAGAATGGTCGAACAAGCATCGCCAGGGCTGGTGCCACTCCGTGCGAAGCAAGAGCTCGGCCACCGACAAAGCTGCAGGTGCAGAAGTGTCCAAACCTTGCTACGAAGTGTCTCCCCACAAAGAGATGCTACGAACGGAGAATTTCGGGCATTCCAATTCAGTCTCGTCTTTCTGAACTTCAAACGAATAGGAGTGAATATTCAGAGTTGCTGTTGAAGCGCCTTCGCTTAGCAAAAGATCTGCAGCTTTCGCGTAAATGAAGAGCACGCTGCCGTCCTATCAGAAACAAAAATGCCACCTGTAGAAGCTGTTCTTGCAAGCAAAGAAAGAACAATATACACACAACATCACATAACACGTCCTTCAAAATGCAACAAAGACACAAACTTGCAAGTAGAAATTGCTGAGGGGTAAGGCATTTAGGAACAATGTTTGCTACTAGGAGCAAAGGGCATCGCTAATAGGAGCGATCGGACGCTACTAGGGGCTCCTGGTCGTACTACCAGGAACAATGTTTGCTACTAGGAACAAGAAGCTACTAGGAACAAGTGCATCGCTTCTAGTAACAAGTGCCTTACTAGTAGGAACAAGAAGCTATTAGTAACAAGTGCATCGCTTCTAGTAACAAGTGCCTTGCTAGTAGTAACAAGGACGCTACTAGGAACAAGACGCTTTGACTCGTAACATCTGGGCGTATTGGTCGGGTATTGACTGAACAGGATGCATCCCGGCCTGGACATGCCGGAAGCCTCCCAGCCTCATGTCAAGTGAATAAGAATGCCTAGACAAAAAAGTCTACATGAAAAACAACGATCAGACTAGAAAAGGAAAGAACACACGTTTTGGATGCACAAATGCTACTTTTGTCAATTCGCGATGTCTCAGGGACCTCAAATCGCAACTTATCAACATCAACATCATCTACTGGATGCTAGGAGCAAGGACGCTACTAGGGGCTCTTGGCATCGCTACTAGGAGCAAGGACGCTATTAGGTTGGAGGCCATCGCTAGTACATCGAAAACAAGAAACAACCAAATCACAGTTTCGTGACCGTTCATGGCCTCTCCAATGCTCCCAGCACGCGGCTGGCACTTCTTAGACTCCACTCATGTCTTTCCACGTTATTTCTCGTCTCCTTCCGTGCCACACTTCAGGGGGTAGGGCATCGCAAAGGGCATCGCTACTAGGAGCGATCGGACGCTACTCTAGGAGCTTTTGGCCTCGCTACTAGGAACAAGAAGCTTCAAATATGTCATTCTACGAGCTAAGAATTTCGTGTCTTCGGCGCCTAAGGGACTCCCTCTTTGGCCTTTGGTGTTGGCTTTAACTGCCCCTAGTAGCGTCCTTGCTCCTAGTAGCGATGCCCTTTGTTCCTTGTAGCGAGGCAAAGAGCTCCTATAGTAGCGTCCGATCGCTCCTAGTAGCGATGCCCTTTGTTCCCAGTAGCTTCTTGTTCCTAGTAGTAAGGCCAGGAGCCCCTAGTAGCGTTCTTGCTCCTGAAGAGGCAACAATGTGAATCACCTGAATTTATCCATATCCGTAGATCCTGTCTTGGAGCAGGCGAGCTTCAAAAAGTGCAGTCCTCATTGGTCGAAGCCAATCTACGATGCAGTTGCCAAACAAGTGGCTGCCACAAAGATGCCTCTGAGTTGCCATGTCATTCCAGCGCGAGCTAACAAACCCACTTTCAAATACCCACAGAAAACCTTCCAAACCAGGAAGCTACTAGTAACCGTCCAAACCAGGATTTGCCTCATTCATCTCGAGCAGTTGCAAGGTACGCAACCAGAGAGCTGCAGCAGGAATGGGCAAATCAAACTTGATTTCAGCCACAACCTCCCAGGGATTTCAGGCTACAAAGCTCAAAGAAAGCAAACAATACAACAGAACATTTGATATTTAAGACTATTTTCCTCCTTTCTTCTTGTTCGATTTGTTTTACCTTTCGACTTTTCCTTTTTCAACCTCTATGCAGACTTCACCCTTTAGAGCGCTATCATGTCGCAAACATGCGGATGATTGCCGAACGCAAGGTGAAATGGAGTTGTCCGACGGAATGACCTTGCAATGCGTTCGAACAACGGTGGAACGCACCTAACTAAGGCAGAAAGGCAGAACAAAACAATACTGAACACATGGCATGGTATACATAATGGTGTTAAAGACATTATCGACAAGTTGACAAATCACTTTTGTAGTAATGCCAGGAGCCCCTAGTAGCGTTCTTGCTCCTAGTAGTAAGGCCAGGAGCCCCAAGTAGCGTTCTTGCTTCTAGAAGTAAGGCCAGGAGCCCCTAGTAGCGTTCTTGCTCCTAGTAGCGACGCCAATTGCTCCTAGTAACGTTCTTGCCCCTAGTAGCGATGCCAGGAGCCCCGAGTAACGTTCTTGCTTTTGTTTTTTGATGTTTTTTGTGTGTTTCTTTGGTAGTTCTTTTTGGTTCATTTTTCTTCAGACCGTGCTTCCTCTCTCTTTTGTCATTTCTCTTGCCATTTGTCTGGAAACTGGGCTTCAAGACTTCTAGACTTCCATCTGAAGGTGTCTATATTTCCAGTATACCAAATGAGTCAATAAATAAGCTACTAGGAACAAGTGCATCGCTACTAGGAGCAAGGGCCTTACTAGTAGTAACAAGAAGCTATTAGAAACAAGAATTAAAACCATCAGCTAAATCAGCATCAACCAGCCACCGCATTTGACCACCCCAGAACGTGTACATCACCACAGTACGCTTCCACATCACTCGTTGCGCATCGCACACACCAACAAACCGTCACTTGGCAAACAACATGCACTCAGCATGGTTGGTGCGAACCGGTGTGAAACATGATTTTGGATTTCGTGAGATCTCAAGACTGAGCATATACCTTCCCCGACATGCCGACCTGGTATGAAGCAACTCTTCGTTGGTCTTCCGGATGGTGAACGAAATGTTCAACACATTTTAGTTGTCTTCAATGAACAGCTAAGCGAAAGGCGAAAGCTAAGCGAAAACTCAGCTCATTTTAATTGTCTAAAAACTCTTGAAAAGCTAAGCTCATGCGAAAGTCAACCATGTAGCACTGGCCTGTGCGAGCCTGTGGCAAACCTCAGGGCCATCCAGCGTCGGAGCGACAGCTGCGCCAATGCGAATGGCCTCAAAAGCAAACACATAGTAGCAGGAAGCTACTAGTAGCTCCTGGGCATCGCTACTAGGAGCAAGGATGCTACTATTGTAGCTCCTGGCATTACTAGTAACAAGAAGTTATTAGGTTGGAGGCCATGGGCCATTGCTATTAGGTTGGAGATATAGACTAATAGAGTTAGTGAAGGCCACGAGCTAAACACCCTAAAGATCCCTATAGATCGTATAGATCCTACAGCATCTGTTCCAAACAACGTGTTTGTATCCCACACTGCACGAGCCGCCTGAAATCTCTGACGAAAATGCGAACAAGAAACATCTCTTTACACAAATGTAGTGAGAAAGACTTGTCTTAGGGCTCAATTTCCAACAACACAAGAAGTGACTTCAGTGTCTTTGGTGGTGTCAAGTATTATGTGTTCTATATAATTCAGTCTGCTGATCGAAATCCGGCAAAAGCGCCTGCTGAATTGGCATATTCTCCACTTCTTCCAAGAGATACTTCGATATGGATGACCTCACCACCACATGGACGCAATGTTGTCACAAGGTCTTGGACTATAGACGTGAGGCCATTCCTATTAGATTGGAGGCCATCGCTACTAGGTTGGAGACCAAAGAACCTAATAGTAAGCTGTAGCCTCCAACCTAGTAGCGATGGCCTCCAACCTACTTGATTGCAGATTGCCATAGGTTGTCATTTAAAGATCTGGATTTGCGGAGAAAAAGAAAAAGAAAGCGATGCACTTGTTTCTAATAGCTTCTTGTTACTACTACTACTACTACTACTACTACTACTACTACTACTACTACTACTACTACTA